TAAGCTTTCGAGTCAAGGTGGAAATTTTTGCTCTTAACTCATCATCATCTTTCAAGACATACTTACCCCCTTGGAAAGTAGATGGTTTGGTTTTAACAATGGTAGGAGCGGCTGAGTCCCACATCTGAGAACTGTTAGATATGGTGTTATAAAAATTAAATGTCTCCTCCAAACTTTTGCTCATAAACTCTCCTTGAGCCATCATTTCGACAAACTGACGTAGTCTAGTGGGCAAGGAGTCATATAAAAATCCTATCAAAGTCCAATTCTCAAAAGCATGGTGTGGGTAGGATTGGAGTAGATCCTTGAATCTCTCCCAACTTTGGTAAAAGGTTTCTCCTTCTTTGACCGAAATATTCATGATTTACCTTTTCAATGCATTAGTGCGGTGTAGAGAAAAAAACTTTATGAAAAATTTATTTTGTAGTGCCCGCCAGTTAGGTATTGAAAGAGCTTTTAAAGAATTTAGCCATTGTTTAGCTTTATCCTTTAGAGAGAATGAACAAAGTTTTATTTTGGCTAGCTCAGAATTTTCTTGAAACGTTCTACATACTTCCTCAAACTCTTTTATGTGTAGATATGTGTTTTCTATTTCGAGTCCATGGAATTAAGAGAGTAGTTGAATTGTCCCCGTCTTTACAATAAAGAGGAGTACATCTTCAGGGAAGATAAAACAAGAGGGGATACTATTTCTTATGGGATTTAAGTAATCTCGCAGAGTTCAAATGTTAGGCACTTCCCCCTTTCACACAGGAATTTCTCTTCGTCTCTCACCATTCGCCATTCTATTTTCACAAAAGTCTGCTACTGATCTAGGTGAAAGTGGTTCTAGTTGATTCACAGAACTAGAAGATTCTGTCAAAAAATTTTGATTGTGAGGAGCGTTCTCAGACATAAAATTAACTAAAACAACTTTATACACAATAAAGCAAATTTATACATAAAAAGTGAGGTCTTTTTACCTTTTACCATAAAACACCTTCTATGGTTCCCCGACAATGGCGCAAAAAACTTGACTTGATCCGAAATATGTACACCCAAGTGTAAGCGGTCAAGTTGTAGTAATAATCCAGTTAAGTCTAGAGTCGAATTCATAGGAAACTATGATTGGTATTTTAAAGTAAGCAATAATAGAGACCAAGTAACTGAAAATTTTGAGAGTTTGGAATGGTGGGATTTGTTGAATAGAACAGAAAATTCTTTTCAAGAGTTTTCTAGACAAAATATAAGATAAATTCAAAAGTAAAATAGTCACCCTTTAGCTTAAGGATCAGAACATGTGGTTAATCATCCGATTTATTATACTTATGTTTTATAACTCAATTAACTCTCGTGTCAACAACAAGTTAATCGAAAGATAAAGATGGATTGTAAAAATTAAGCACATGATTCCGATGTCTTTTTAGAAGTTTACAAGAATTGTTTGTGCCGAGACTTAACCCGTCTACAAACAAGCAAGTGTTTCTACAAGGCATCCAACCATGACATTAATGTTTCATTCTTTAGATAAAACACGATAATAATGAAAATTGAAATGTATCATGTAGGTCTAGCCAAGGTACTTGCCTTGAACCAACAGGTTTTTCCATGCAAGAGTCATCCGTAACATAGAAAGAACCCATGGTTATACAAAGTGCCTTAGCTTTGCTAGATATATTCAATCATTCAATGAACAAGTGAAATATAAAGCATTAAAACATAAAGGAATTGCACAAATATAACTTCCGAATAATCAATACATGTTCATCAACTCTTACTAAAGAGTGAGTGAGGAACTACTCACTCTTCATGGCTTGAGTAAAGCTAGAAAAGTGAGTGATACTCATCCCTCCAAGTAGAGAACTTACAAGGTAAAGTGCAATAAACGAAGAGCCAATCTTCACCAAAGAATAACTGAATAACGTTCTACCCTTCATGGCTTTGGCAAAGTTCTAGAAAGGTGGAAGAGTTTCACTCCTCTAAGAAAGAAGAAAGCTCAAGATATGGAAGTGAAAGAAATAAAGAAAGTAGAAGAAAGTTGGTTACTTTTGGAGGGTTTCCACCATAACCAAAAGATGAGTTCTCTCTTGATACTTGTAAATAAAAGCAAGTACAACTACAAGGGGAGTCTAAGCCTCCATCATGGTTGTCACAACATGAATGTAAAGACTTAGCACAAGTAAATAAAAGACTTTAACTACAAGGGGAGTCTAAGCCTCCATCATGGTTGATACAAATGCAAAATGAAAACATAAACAAGAAATGTACAAAAACTAGCTCTCTACTCTACTTTACAAGAGAAAATATTGCCCCATGAAACTCCCCTGATGGGAGTATTTATAGGCTAGGAAAGGGAGGGGGTGAAGGAATAGTTTTTGTCGCCCAAGTCCAAGTGAAAAGCCAATAACTCTGCAGCCAGTCAGTCGAGGATGTTTGAACGTGATTTGTCGTTCGAATGTTGTGTCTGTTTTTGCTTTAGGAATGTTCGAACGTGATATGTTGTTCGAACGTTGTCTCTATCTTTGCTTTAAGGGCATTTGAACGCCAGATGGGGTTTGAACCCCCCTATTCAAGTGGCTTGTGGTCTCTGTAATGGTTACTTCCATACGTCTTGAACAACTTTGATCTATACTCTGGTACTTGGTCCTCAGTAACTCAAGACAATGTTTGAACGTGGAGTGGTGTTTGAACGTTGTACTCAAGTACTTCTGTGGTTCTTCTTTCTTTGTTGCAACACGCCAGCAGGTCTCAGTAGTCTAGTCTTCTTAGGATTTCAGAGCACGTTTGAACGTAAGTGGGCATTCGAACGTGGTACTTAAGTACCTCAGCATTTTCCTTTTTGAATACAACATGCCATGTCTCAGCAGCCTGGTCCTCAATCACTTCAGAGGAACGTTCTAACATTCTTGATTTGTGCCAATCTTTTTCAATTTTGCTCCTTAATCCATTGGTGTTACATCCAAGTGTGATATTTGTTATCCTTGAGCTCTTGTTCACTTTAGGACCTGAAATGCCATTACTTAAACTCCATCAAAGCACAATTAGTCCCAAAAAGGCGTAGTAACATGCTAACTTTAAGCGCTAATCAGGTTTTTCACTACCAAAAGGTGTTCTTTTTAAGAAAGCAATGATACAAGAAAATAATAATGACTTTTGGAGGGTTTTTCACTCCCAAAAGGTGCTCTGTTCAAGAAAGCAATGATACAAGAAAACAATAATGACTTTTAGAGCATTTTTCACTACCAAAAGATATTTTTTTACAAGAAAGATGATACAAGAAAGCAACAATGACTTTTAGAGAATTTTTCACTACAAAAAGATGATCTTTACAAGAAAGATGATACAATAAAAAAAATGATCTTTACAAGACCCAAGGGATGGTATTTATAGGCAAAAAGGGAGGGCTTGAATTACACTTTGATCCCCCTTTGTTTTGAGCTTTTGATAATTGGCACCCTATAGTTTGTAGCTTTGACGGAATTGGCTCCCCAGTCATTGGTAGCTTTGACGCATAAAACCCTAAAAAGAACAACAATCAATGCATTATCCCTAATTCACACACTAACCCTAATTTGATTTATTTTGACTAGTTTAACTTTGTTTAACTAACACAATTGACATGTTAACTTAATTAAATTATGCATTAATTAGGGTTAATCAGCCTTTGACCAATTTCACCACCCCTCGGTCAGTATTTATGTTTCTAACCTTGTGTTTTTTCTTTGTAGAGGGACGCTGCCCAGCCTTTGAAAGCAGAAGTTGCCTTTGACAACCTAATCAAGGTTTGGTCTCATAACCTCGACAATCCCTTTGCTTGGGCAGCACACGTACTCCTTGGCTACTGCCCTGGCCATACTAGATTCTCTTAGATTCTCCCACCCTTTGACCTTTCCATCTGGGTGGACCTTTCCTTGGATGAAGAAGAGGACGAAAAGGAGAACCTTGAAGAAGACCCCGACTGCGAATCTGAGTTTACTCCAACACATTCATCTACTGTCGAGATGTTTCGCAACCCCCCATCACAAAAATTTTGGAGGCTACCTTTGCGGCCAAGATATCCCTGATCATAGGGCCTGGTGGTCCTTTTGGCACCGTACCAGTCGTCGTACCTCCGTCTGCCACTGACAACAACAACAACAACAACAAAAACAGTAATAGCAGTAGCACCAACAACAAAAAGAAGAAGAAGTCCCCTAAAGGGTTCAACATTAGAGTCGAAGGTGCCAAGATGAGCCCTCGGAACGGACTGATGATCAGCAAAGAGAGCGCCGAGTCAAATAGAGCCATGACACTCCAACGCCTTCTAGTCTTGCTGAATGAGCCCCTGAGCCATCACAAGAAGGGGGAAAAGCCATCTTGGAGTCTGAATCCATCATCCACTCCCCTGATGTGGCTCTAGCCGTAAGTGGGACACTACACTTTGATGCCGACGTGGTGATCCTAGATGAGTGTGGAGACAATCGGCTCCTCCAAGCAGTGGTTCAGCATAATCTGGTGGTATGCAGTCCCACCCTTTTCTCTACCTTCGACATTTTCCCACTATAATTTTGTCTTTATGCTCACTCTTTTCTTTTTCAGGCCTGCCATTAAATGGGGGTCATCATCGATCACTTCTAGGTCTATAGGAGCACAGCTAAAAAAGGCCCGAGCTGAGCTTACCCAAATGGATCTCCACATTGGCTAAGTGGAGAGGACGGTCACTGATCAATTCCGAAGCATCGTCGACCTGATTTGCAAATTGAGCACCTTACCATCGAGTTGGACAAGAGCAAACAAGTCGAGGCCGAGGCAGAAAGGAAGATGGAAGCGGCCAAGCTGAAAGTTTCAGCTGTCGAGGACAAGTTGTTGGAAGTGAAGACCAACTGTATAGCCCTAACCTCGAAGGTGAAGGCATTGGAGGAAGATAAGGAGGGGGAGGTCGAGATGTTGAGCACGATCTGTATGGACATGTACAAGCAGTGCCAGGAGCAATTCATCCCAACCTCAATGATGGAAAACAGAAGACTTTCACGCAAGGTTAGGATGAAGCTCTTCGCACTTGCGGGGTCGTTGCTGACTCTGAACTTTTTGCAATGCACAATTTGCAAGGAGTTACTAAATTCGCAGCCCCAACTGTCGTCCAGTCGAATGCCAAGCAGGCTCCAGTAGACATGCCGACTAAAGAAGTAAGGGAGACAACGATAGATATAGTGCCAAAAATTGTTAGTGATGAATTAGAGGGAATGTCTCCCCTTTGGCTTCCTTCTGATACTTTTCCCATGCATACCGACGATCCCTTCGTCCTCGGCATCCCTATCATCCATCTCCGTAGGGCCAAATTTGGGGAACCTGACAAGAGACTTAGTGCTAGCGAAGGGTCTCTGAGAAGGCACCAATCAGGGCTCGGCGGTGANCTTTTGGCTTCCTTCTGATACTTTTCCCATGCATACCGACGATCCCTTTGTCCTCGGCATCCCTATCATCCATCTCGGTAGGGCCAAATTTGGGGAACCTGACAAGAGACTTAGTGCTAGCGAAGGGTCTCTGAGAAGGCACCAATCAGGGCTCGGCGGTGAGGAGTTTGGAGGTGACCGCGGTGAGCCTGCTAGACCTGAAGGCCCTTAAAAAAACTTGTATGTGTGTGTGTGTGTATATCTATATATATATATTTGTATGCCTAAAGAACGCATGGCCTCCTTTTCATTAATGCAGTCTATTTTCTTCTTTGGTATTGTCTTCTTTTTTATTCTGGTAAATAATGTGTAACTGATTCCGAAACCCCGAAGTTCATGAAAATTTTTCAAAAATGCACAAGTATGGAGACTTACTTCTAATCAACCGAGCCTAAGGTTCGTGTTGATCTTTTCGAGGGTGGTGCACTAGGGATGGACGTTTACCCCAAACGACCGAGCCCCAGGTTTGTGTTGATCTTTTCAAGGGCGGTGCTCCAAAGATGGAGGCTTACCCCTCTCGGGGCCTTAATCCAAACAACCGAGCCTGAGGCTCGTGTTGATCTTTTTAAGGGCGGTGCTCCAAGGATGGAGGCTTACCCCTCTTGGGGCTTTACCCTTAATGACCGAGCTTGAGGTTAATGTTGATCTTTCGAGAGCGGTGCTCCAAGAATGGAGGCTTACCTCTCTTGGGGCCTTACTCCTAATGATTGAGCCCGAGGCTCGCGTTGATCTTTTCGAGGGCGGTGCTATAAGGATAGATGCTTACCCCTCTCGAGGCCTTACCCCAAACGACAAAGCCCAAAACTCGTGCTGATCTTTTCGAGTGTGGTACTCCAAGGATGGAGGCTTACCTCTCTCGGGGCCTTACCCCAAACGACCGAGCCCAAGGCTCGTGTTGATCTTTTTGAGGGCGATGCTCCAAAGATGGAGGCTTACCCCTCTTGGGGCCTTACCCCTAACGATCAAGCCTGAGGCTCGTGTTCATCTTGAGATCCGACTGTTGAAATCAACTTAGTGATAATATTTCTTCAGATTTGATACATTCCAAGGTTAGTTTACATTTTTTTCATCCATGTCTTGTAGTCGATATGCCTCTGTGCCTCCTATGATAATAACTTTGTATGTACCCTCCCAATTGGGGCAGAGCTTCCCATCAGTAGGTTCCCAAGAATTGGCCAGAATTTTGCGCAATACCAGATCTCTCACCTAAAACCTCCTTGTTTGGACCTTCTTTTGATGTTGCCTTAACAACTCCCCTTGATACTTGGCTAGCTGTATCGATGCCAACTCTCTTTTTTCCTCAACTAGATCAAGATCCATGGCTAATGTTTGATCATTGTTTCCTGACTCAAAGGCTTGAGTTCGTATAGTCAGGAGCTCCACCTCCAATAGGAATAACGACATCAATACCATATGTCATGGAATAGGGAGTTTCCCCCATAAAAGTCCTCAGGGTAGTCCTATACGCCCATAGGACATTAAGAAGTTCTTCGGTCCATTTGCCCTTAGCTCTCTCCAACCTCTTCTTTATTCTAACCAAAACTATCTTATTAGAGACCTCTGCTTGCCCATTACATTAAGGATATGCCGGGGTGGAATAATAGTTTCGTATTCCAAATCCCGAACAGAATTCCCTGAATGGTCCACTGTTGAATTGGGTGTCGTTGTTAGAGACGATGGCTTGGGGGATGCCGAACCGAGTAATGATATTTTACTATATGAATTTCTTTGTTTCTACATCACAAATATGGCTTAGGGGTCTCAACTTCAATCCACTTCGTGAAGAAGTCAGTGGCAACTAAGATGAATTTCTTTCCCAGAGGAGCCCTCGGCAGAGGCCCCACTATGTCCATGCTCCATTGAGAAAATGGCCAAGGACTTGCCAAAAGGTTTAGGTCTTCTGCCGATTGATGAATGATGGGAGCAAACTTTTAACACTTATCACATTTTTTAACATACCTCTTGGCATATTTCTGCATATATGGCCACCAATAACCTTGAGATATCGCGCGGTGTGTGAGGGATCTTCCTCCTGTGTGACTTCCATATACACTCTCATGAACCTCGTACAACAATGGCTCCACGTTATCCTCAGGAACACACAGTAAATATGGTCTCGAGAAGGATCTCCTGTACAACTTGTGATCAGGGGACATCAAGAATCTGGGAACTTTTAGTTTGATCTTCCTGGCCTCTTTGACATCCTCGGGGAGTATCCCATCCATTATATACTTGATTATGGGGTCCTTCCAACTTGGAGACACATCATGGATGTACGTCGGTAGAACCTTCTCAGTATTTAAGTTCCTTAAGTTCAGACTCTCTAGGTAGTCAACGATAATGCACCGAGTTACCTCTAAGGCCAAGGTCGAGGCTAGGCAAGCTAACGCATCGACGTGGCTATTGTGATCTCTCAAAATTTAGGATACCTCTATCTTCTCAAACTTCTCTATTCTTGACTTTGCTCTTTGGTGATAGGCTTTCATCCTGTCATCTCGGACTTTGAAGTCCCCATTAATTTGATTTACCACCAATTGGGAATCGCAAAAAATATGGAGGTTTCTTACTCCGGCCGAGTACGCGATATAGAGCCCAGCCAACAATGCCTCGTACTCGGCCTCATTATTGGATGCTTTGAATCCAAGTTTGATAGCTCACTCCAATGTAAATCCTCCAAAATTGGCCAAGACTACACCTAGTCCTGCCTTCCTTGTGTTTGAGGATCCATCCACATGCAAACTCCAAATATCATCGCTGTCGAAAGTTACCAGTTTTCCCTCTGGTGGAGACTCGGATGCGGAGAACTCGGCAATGAAATCAGCAAGGATTTGCCCTTTGATGGAAGTATGGAGCGTGTAGCTTATCTTGAACTCTCCTAGCTCCACGACCCACTTGGCAACTCATCTAGACATGGCAACTTTATGAAGTATGGGCTTTAAGGGCTGATCAATCAATACCTCTATGGGATGGGCTTGGAAATAGTGCTTGAGTTTCCTTACCAAGATGACTAAGGCCAGTATAAGCTTCTCCATGGGCAGGTATCTAGTTTCAACATCAAGTAGGGTCTTGCTTACATAATAGACCTGTCTTTGTATTCGTTGTGCTCCCTCACAAAAGCTCTGCTAATTGTCCATTCTGAGAAAGATAGGTAGAGATTTAGAACTTCATCTGCTGTCAAAACGAACAGGGTCGGAAGGGACCTCAAATACTCCTTGATTCCCTCTAACGCCCGATTGCATTCTTCACCCTAGGATCCTTTCACTGCCCCCTTAAGCATGGCAAAGAATAGCCTACACATGTCTGAGGACTTGGAGATAAAACGGTTGAGAGCCACCATCATCCCGGTTAATTTGTGTATGTCCTTCACGATCTTCAGCCTCTGTATATCTTGCACGGCCTGTACTTGATCAAGATTGACTTCTATGCTACGATGGTTGACTAGATATCCCAAGAACTTGCCCAAGCTTACCCCCAATGCACTCTTCGAAGCGTTGAGCTTCAGGCCATACTTTCATAGCAAGGTAAAGGTGACCCCGAGATCTCGAAGATGGTTGGCTTTGGCTTTACTCTTTCCCAACATGTCATCAACATATACTTCCATCGTGACGCCGAGTTGTTGCTTGAACATCTTATTCATTAAGCATTGATAAGTGGCACCGACATTGTTCAAACCGAACGACATCACCGTGTAACAATATATCTCTTGGGACATGATGAACGCCATTTTCTCTTGATCATATTCATGCAAAGTGATCGTGATAACCTGCTCGGACATCCATGAAACTAGTAGGCCTGTGCCTCGTGGTCACATCAACAAGCTGATCAACCTTTGAAAAAATGTATTCATCTTTGGGGCATGCCTTGTTCAAGTCTATAAAATTCACACAAACTCGACACTTTTCACCTTTCTTCTTTGCACACACCGTGTTTGATAGCCACTCGGGGGAACTGGACTTCCTTGATTGATCCAACCCCGAGCAACTGGCCTTCCTCTTCGTCAACCACTTGTATGCGGTGAGGCGCTGACCTCCAAGCCCTTAGATTCACAAGTTTGAAAGCTGAATCAACATGAAGTCGATGACATATCACCTTGAGGCTTATCCCTGTCATCTCGGCTAGGGTCCATGCGAAGACATCGACGTTCATACAAAGAAAATTCACCATACTAGACCTCTCGGTGCCGCCCAATGACATCATTATCAGGAAAAACCTCTCTTCATCCTCAGGGTGTAGAAGGACTTTAACTAGAACCTCCGTGGACCAATCGACTGGGTTAGTAGTAGGATCTTTAACACCAAGCCGCACTACAAAAAAAATTATTTATTGCGACGTTTTTATTTTTGTAGCAAAAAAATATTATCTGCGACGATTTCATAAATTTGTCACAAAAAATTATTATGGTGATTTTTTTTGAGACAATTTTTTATGTTCGTCGCAAAAAATATGAGTCCCTTTTTTATTTTTTGGCGTGAGTGATGGCGGGAAATGAAAATTTTTTAACGATAAATTTTTTTTGCTGCAAATTAAATAATCAAAAAATAAAATAAAATTTCATTCGTGACGTTTTTATTTTCGTCGCAAAAAATATACTATCTGCGACGATTTCATAAATTTGACGCAAATAATTATTATGATAATTTTTTTTCGCGAGATTTTTTGAATTCGTCGCAAAAAATGTGAATCCCTCCCCTATTTTTTTGGCACGATTGATGGCGGAAAATGAAAATGTTTTTCCTACAAAATTTTTTTTCTCTCAAATTAAAGAATCAAAAAATAAAATAAAATAAAAATAAAATTTTTTTCGAGATGTTTTTATTTTCATCCCCAAAAATATACTATCTGCAAAGATTTCATAAATTTGTCGCAAATAATTATTATGGTAATTTTTTTCGTGACGTTTGCGATTGATGGCATGAAATGAAAATGTTTTTCCAACAAATTCTTTTTTGTCGCAAA